GGAAGAATTTGGAGAGGGAGCCACGCTTGCCCCTCTGGGGCAGCTTGTGTTGGCTGAAGCACCAGGGAATCAGCTGAGGCGTCTCCAGCTTGAACAACAACATTGGACATTTTAGGGGTTCGCCTGTGATGCTGCCCAGGGAAACCAGCAAGGACCGAGCCCTGGAAGAAAATGTATTTTTCATCTGGGCAGTGATACAGGGAGGGGCATTCCACCATACCAACCCTGTTTTTTTTCTCCAGAAGCAAGGGGCAGACTCTGCAAATGGCGGAAACCTCCCCATGCCTTGCATTCTCACCGCCCGCCTTGTTAGGTAAATGGATGTCCACGTGGTGGGCATCTCTCCACTACAGAACTGTCAGAAAATGGCAAGTACAGTGGTACCTTGGTTCTCAAATGCCTTGGTACTCAAATAATTTGGAACCCAAACACTGCAAACCTGGAAGTAAGTGCTCCAGTTTGCGAACTTTTTTTGGAAGCTAAACGTGCCCCGTTTTCAGTGTTACACTTCCGATTTGAGTGCCACGCTTCCGTTCGGAACAGCCTTTCTCAGCCTGTGGGTCCTCAGATGTTGTTGAACTACAACTCCCATCACCTCTAGCTAGCAAGGCCAGAGCTCAGGGATGATGGGAGTTGTAGTCCAACAACATCTGGGGACCCACAGGTTGAGAACCACTGGTTGGAGTGTTATGCTGAGGTCTGTCTGTTTTTGCTATTTATTTTGCGTTTTTGTGGCTCTTTGTGTGTGTGTGTGTGTGTGTGTGTGTGTAACCCAGTTCAGCTATTGACTGATTGACTGATTGTGTGACTGCAGTACATTGTCTATTGCTTTCATTTTATGGATCAGTGGTTTCGTTAGATAGTAAAATTCACGTTAAATTGCTATTTTAGGGGTTGTTTTTAAAAGTCTGTAATGGATGAATCCATTTTGCATTTCTTTCTATGGGAAAGCGTGCCTTGGCTTTGGAACGCTTTGGTTTTGGAACGGACTTCCGGAATGGATTAAGTTTGAGAACCAAGGTACCACTGTACAGATGACTGTTGTAGCTCACATTATGTGCCAGTTGAGCATCTGGTGAAAACCCAAAGCCAGCCACATAATGGTTATACTCAGGCTTGCTTGTCGTGTCAAGAACGGGCTTGCAGAGGAGACTTTGATGCACCAACAGTGCATGTGTGGGCCTGGGGTTGCCCAGTGCACAAGCCCTCCAGGATGGAACCATGCTGCCGTTCGCTGCATGCGCGTAGGAAACTTGGCAAATGAAGGAAGTGATTATTCTGCAGCTGATTAGGGGTTCTTTCCCCACAAGTCTAATTTATTTTTAATGATTGGGGGGAAATCCTTCACAGAAGAGCTTTCTTTTTCCCTGTTTCAGAGTGAGAGGTGGAAAGCTTTTGCCTGATAGCATTTCTCCCCCCCCCCTTCCTTCCGAGCACCTATCCAGTTGCACAATCTGGCTATTAGCTTTGCCGCTTTATGGTGAGTGAAAGAGATTGCAAAGCAGCAACGCTAGATGAAGAGATACATTCTATGTAACACCTGCAACCCCAAATGTGGCTTGCTAGTTCAAATCTATGTGTGAAACTGAGTGTGCACATCTGCACACAGAGAGATTGCCTCTTTGGTCTTTTTTAGCCCACAGTTTTCCCATGTCTGTCGTTTCTCTTTCTGGGAATATTGCACTGCTTATCTCTAGGTTCTACTGATGTATCACCCCAGTGCACCTTTCTATGTAGGCCTCTCTTTTTCAGCACCACATATTTTCTATTTCTCTTTCCCTCCTGTTTTTGCTTCCTCCACTTCTTCTGTACTTCAATTCCTGCTTTCAGTTGCTCTGTCCATTGGCTCCCTTTCCCAGCACCCAGCCTCCTTTTCTTCCCTTACTTCCGTATGCCTCCCATCCAAACTCAGGTTTCACTGCCCTCATATAAGCAGCACCGCCTAGCAAATGTTCTATTGCTGCTGTTTCTGTGATGGGGACTTAGAATGGGTTTGCAAATATAAGGAGAAGAGCTCCCACCTTCCATGTGAGGTAGATCTGGCTGAGAAGTACTGCCTACTTAAGTTACCAGCAACTGCCCCCACCCATATTATTCAAACACCTGTAATCTGGGCGTATGAGGACTGAGACCTGCAATATTTACTTGTGGAGAAGAGACAGGCTTTAGCAAGCTCCCTTTAACTCCCCTAAGGTAGCTTCAGGATGAGCAGCCCAGTGAAATGGGTGAGATCAATCCTGTGATCTAGCAACATTAGTCAGCTTTAGACTTGTAATTCCAGATTTTATTAAATGAGTGAAGGTGAGTGAGCAGGAGTGAGAAGCCTGGAAGAAGGAGGAAAAACAGTGAGTAATTTCTAGCTAACGTAGACTATTATCATCTCTAAGTTAGTTTCAGCAACTAGCATAAAACACAGCATTCTTGGCACATGCAAAGCCTGTTTTGAGGTTGAAGCGAACAAGCAGAATTCCCCAGGACAAAACCTGGGGACCAAGAGGGGTGATGGTTGATGGGGGCAAATCAAGTCAAAAGGTGGTAAGCAGAACTACTGTTGGCCCCACATATTTTCTGCAGGCCTCCAGTCTTCCAATTTACAATGCAGCTGGACATGCTCCAAGCAGAAAGGCTAGGGAGACCACAACAACCAGACATATTTTCCATTTGGCACAAACTTAAGTAAGAGTTACAAATCAAACCATTGCCAGCCCCTCTTCAGCCTCCCTTGCAAAAAAATGAAAAATAATGCCCTGCCCTGTGCCACTCCACTAAATGAGGGAAGTCTCGTTGGTTTTACTTCTTCTCCTTCTTGAACCCTCACTCCCTAATTGTCTCAACCCAGCCATTCCGACCAGAGAGTCCCATACACACTTGAGGGACGCCATGAATGCTCCTTCCTCCATGCATCCTGGAGAAAATACCAAGTTGCAATAAAGTTGTCATGGTCCAGTTCTTCATGTGAAGCTTGTAGATGGTTAGTTAGCTTCTCCACAGACTTTGCAACCATGCAAGTATCTCCAAGTCAGCCATTCGCCATCTTGATGTGCCCAGAGGCACTTGTTTCCATTTAAATATGTACATAAGCAGCTGTTCTTGCCAACAGATTATGGGTGGGGTCAGGGCCGGATTTAGGTTTGATGAGGCCCTAAGGTAATGGGTAATGGGTGAAGGTGATGGGGCCCTTTATATGTCCAGCTGTCCTTTGTCAAGAACAAATTGTCGCTGTTTTTTGTGTTGAATATGTTCTATATGGTAATTGATGGACCTGATAGGTATCTAAAGCCATTTGCACATGTTGCCCTGCAACCAGTCCATGCAGAATGTAAGCACTCTATATATAGAAATGAGCAAACCAGTGATATTTTAGGGAGCAGGCTAGCAGGCGGGGCTCATTACTTACATCATAGGAGCCTCCACAACACAAAACACTGTTGCTGTATGTAGGTTTTATTTTATTTGTTTTTTATCTTATATTTTGGAAATATACATCCAGGTTGTTGTTGTTTTCTTTAATTTTTTTGGGAGGCCCCAAGAGAGTGGGGCCCTAGGCTATAGCTTGTTTAGCTTGTACGTAAATCCGTCGCTGGGTGGGGTGGAAGGTCCGATCCACATAACTGCATACTGGGCTCAGCAAATCCTATTGGCACCTCCAGAGTTCAAACTAAGACCTCACAGCCAGAGTCCCCCCCCCCCCCCGCTCTGAAAACCTGACTCAATTTGCATGCAGATATTATGCAAATGTATGCCATGGGCCTCTGCCCCTGAGCCTAGAAATGTCCCTGTGGCATAGGATATGTGAGGTGCATATAGACTAGGACAGGTAGAATAGACACATTAGCACAGGCTATTTACTGGAACTTGAGAAAGAGAATTGGGAAGGATTTCTGTCACATAGGATTAACTAAACACCCTATTGTGCATTCAGACAAAGTACAGTATCTGTGTCTTTTGGTTTGCTTCCTTTTGCTATGCTTTGACAGAGGGAAGAATCTTTGGGCAGAGTTGGGCATTTCAACAGGGACAGAAGGGATAGGACTCAGCTTTCTGAAATCTTGCTTGCCTTCTGCACAGCAAGCCAGCCATGAAACTGCAACAGCCTATCTAGTGGCTTGGGAGGCTTGCCAGTGACAAGTAGCCAATGTTTTGACTGCCTTTCCAACATGATGTCTTGGAAGCTATAGGCATATCTGCAGAGTAACTTGTTTCTTGGGGTTTCTGAGAGAGAAGAGAAAGAGTTAAATGAATTTGTGTTAATAGTGCAGACATGCCTTTCCCCCTCTGCCAGCATTCAAAGGGCTGGTCCTGACATGATGCCATTTTTCTCCACGGCTTTGAAATGATTCCCGTGGAGACATTCAGATGGAAAACATGAGTAACCGTTCATGTAGATTTCTTAGGATAAGAGCTAGAAGCAAGATACCAGGTTCACGATGGCTGCTGCGCACAGGATTTCTAGTCCTGCTCTGGAACGACATATTATTGCTGAGATATTGCTGCTGCTAAATATCATGGACCTGTGTCGCTTCATTCTGTCTGCTTGCAAATGCAAAATGTCACTGCATTGCAAGTTCCCCTTTCCATCACTCTCACTGATTGGCTGCTGCTTATAGGGGCATGGAACCCTAGGCACAATGATGCCATGACAAACATTTTGCTGTTGTAAATGTCACTGAGTGAATATGTGGCATTGTTGGAAAGCCACTCATGAATGACTGCTTGGAAGAGCGCAGAGGGGAGCAATGCAGTGCTGCATCTGCAGCAGTGCAACCGGACGCCTTCATCTGCAACCCTGGCTGCAACAAAACATGTCTCCTCCGTATCGGTGTCTACAGCCACAGCAGATGCTGCAACCTTCCAACAGTTTGACTTCACTCCCAAAGGCCCACACCTCCATTGTCTCCCGAGTCAGAAGGACGGTAGCTTTGGGGGCAGCACAAGGCTTGCACAACGTTGCAAACAGATGCTTTGCATTGTCTATTCTTTGAATTGTTGTTTTTTTACAGTTTCTACAACTGGGACAGGAATATCTGCTGCTTGAATTCAAGTCCAAATTACCAAGTGATTGCAGAAAATGTGTGCGGCCTCCTCTTCAAGAACAAGTCTGACAGGAAGGTCATCAATGTTGACCCCAAGGTAGCATTGTCACTTTTGTCATTTCCCTGAAACAACAGGCCTGTCTGTGTAAAACATCCATGCTTTTATTTTTACTGCTCATTTCATGGATCAAGGGACAATGCATGGGTCTGGTTTTTGTCCTGTTGAGAAGTGATGTTCCATCATGAAGGACGTTTCTTATATTAAAAACAAAAAAAAATTCCTTCCAGTAGCACCTTAAAGTTAGTTCTTGGTATGAGCTTTCGTGTGCATGCACACTTCTTCAGATACACTGAAACAGAAGTTGCCAGATCCTTCTATATAGTGAGAAGGTGGGGAGGGGTATTACTCAGAAGGGTGGTGGGAATGGGTGATTGGCAGATAGCTGTGATGAGCCTGTTGACGACTCTTAACGACTGCAATAGGTCTTACAGGGAAAAGCAAGGGGTGAGAAGGTGAAAAATGGCTTTGTCATGTATAATGAGATAAGAATCCAATGTCTTTGTTCAGACCAGGTCTCTCCATGGTTTTAAGTTTGGTAATGAGTTGCAATTCACTGTAAGACCTATTGCAGTCGTTAAGAGTCGTCAACAGGCTCATCACAGCTATCTGCCAATCACCCATTCCCACCACCCTTCTGAGTAATACCCCTCCCCACCTTCTCACTATATAGAAGGATCTGGCAACTTCTGTTTCAGTGTATCTGAAGAAGTGTGCATGCACACGAAAGCTCATACCAAGAACTAACTTAGTTGGTCTTTAAGGTGCTACTGGAAGGATTTTTTTTTTTTGTTTTGACTATGGCAGACCAACACGGCTACCTATCTGTTTCTTATATTAGTTGGATATATGATGTTCTTCAAATGGGACATCTTGTAAATGCAGCCAAGGTGGAAACAATCATGTGAGCCATCGCATGAACATATGAATCTTAAGTACTGCTGAAACAAGGTCCATGTACTTTGGTTCTATCTGAAAGCAACAGATCTCATTGTAGGTAAGTCTTCCTGTAAAGCTGTAGGCCTCACAAGATGGAAATGTCATCTTTTAATTCTTTTTGAATGAGACTTTTTTCCCATGGATGACAGCAGTGGGCCTCAGTTTCATTAAGCATAAGGCATATCTAGGGAAGCATCTTAAACTCCCCAGATTCCCTTGGGCACTTCCTTATGTAATAGCGCAGTAATAATAGTTCAGTAATCCTGTGCAGAAACTGGGTGCACCTGCAGTCTTAGAGGCAACAACCAACCTACACAAAGCCAGCAGCACTTCTCCTTCGCTTATTGCAGTCTCTGGGAGCTTGGGATCAGGAGCTCGTGAACAAGACTTGCAAACAGGGGTATTTGAAGGAAGGAGGAGAATTGGAGGGATTGGAATTGGAGGAGACTCAAGAGAGTGAGATTGTGTCTTTTGGAATAAGGTTGCTTGCTTGTCTGAGCTGTTTGGAGACTTGATTGTGAGTTTGTTTGTGGTTGTGGTCATGTGACAGCACATGGTCTGAAGGAGAGGGGCTGCTGTTGAAAGGAAGGAAGGCAGACTGAATGAGAAAGCGAGTTGAGCCAGCAGCAGGTCTACTTAGCTTCTTGCAGTCTCCAGGAGCTCATGACCAGGACTACCTGGTATTCCCAGGTAGTGCTGGGAACAACTCCTGCTTGAAACTGTGAAGTACTACAGCCTGTCAGTGTAGACAATATAATGGTCTGTCTCAGTATAAGGCAACTTCCTATATTCCTATTTTATGGGTAGGTTCAAGGCCAAGGCAACTGAGATAATGTATGGGTCCCCCAGCAAGCACTGGGAAACTGGTCTCCTATGTTGCGCCCTTAGCACCAAAAAGTGTTGCTAAGAGGACTTAGAATCATAGAATTGTAGGGCAGGAAGGGACCCTGAGGTTAATTTAGTCCAATCCCCTGCAATGCAAACTTGGCCCTCCAGCTGTTTTGGGACTACAATTCCCATCATCCCTGACCACTGGTCCTGTTAGCTAGGGATGATGGGAGTTGTAGTCCAAAAACAGCTGGAGGGCCGAGTTTGCATTGCACTGCCCTATGGGGATCGAACCTGCAACCTTGGCATTATCGGCACCACGCTGTAGCCAACTGAGCTATCCGGAGTCATTACACCTCTTAAAACAAGCTACATACAAACCCACACTGGTTGTGCCCTCCTTACCCCACTGCAATGGCTCTATTTCAAGGCGTTTCTCTCTCTCAAACAACCACATTTGACAAGCTGATTTTTCACTGTCTTCCGCTTACTCCAGGTTATGACACCAAAACAGTTAAATGCTACATTACCTTCTTTTTACAAATTGGTTTAAGTATTTTTAAAGTGTGTGCATGGAATGTGCGGGAGGGAGGGAACTTAGGAAATCAGTCCCATATACTTCTGTTCCAAATGAACAGTATGCAATTTACAATTCTGTCACTGCAGGGGTGGTGTGCCCCATTTCACCGCTTAAGGCAAAACAAAAAGCTGCCATCCCACTTTGCCACCGCATGGAAGCCTCCCTTACCTGGGTTGCAAAGCAGCAGCAGCAGCAGGTTCTGGTGAAATCTCGCAAAGCAACACGAGATCTTACATGAGTCCTACATTGGACTGACCCAAGATTACATAGTGTGCTCTGTGCACTGGATTTCAGGCAATCCCCCCACTCCAGTAAAACAGCAGAGAATAATGGACAAATGGCCATGATTCAAACAAAGGTAAGCATTTTACGTCCCTTCGATTCCATTTGAAGAGAGGTAATAAAATGCTTACCTTTGATTGAAATAAATGGGACTTAAAATACTGGGATTTGCTTGAATCATATCCCTTTTTCCATTGCTTCTTTGCTGTCTTGGTTAGAGAGTTCCGTTATGAACAATGGCCCTCTGTTGTGATCTGAGTGTGTCCATCTGCAGTGATCTGAGTGAGTCCATCTGTTCTTCATTGTCCCTTTAAAAATGTTGCATCTTAAGTCCTTGGACTATAGATTGAATATGGCAAACACACCCATGCTTTGGTTCCTCTCAAAACCAACGCAGAGTAAGCCGGGCAGTAATTTGTTTGGGTTTGCACAGAACAGCTCTCGGATGAGGGTTTCTTTGAAGTACTTCCCACGAAAGCTGGTTGCATATGAATAGCAACGGGACCAAATATCAAATTATACACATCTTAAAATGGGAGTGTGTTGGTTTGCAAGACATTTAAAAATGCATACCTAAAAAGAAGTGTATTTGGTTGCATTCAAAGTGGGTCACTGGTCTAACTTCCTGCAGCTGTGGAACATCTGTAACAAATAAGCAGATACCCTATTGCTGTGTGAAATATATACTTTTAAGAATTGAGGACCAAATCAAGCACAGAGGGGGTTTCGGCTCTTTAAAGCCGTACACATTGCATTTCTAGCTTCCTTGTGTGTCTCTACTGCACAGAGGCATAAATACCCATGAAAATGGTCAAAATTGGATTCCTACATTGGAGTGTGTAATGGGCCGGGGAGGCTGAATTCCACAAAATGGATTTGTGAGACAAAGAATCACCACTCACTCAGGACCTATGGGACAACATGGAGGACTGGTAGTTTTGGGAGGTGATGCCTTTCCCCCCATAAATCTAATGGAGACATTGAATGGAAAATAATATTTAGAAATGGTTGCTCCTCCAAATTAACCCTTCTCTACCAAGCCAGCTACTAGGGACGCAGGTGGCACTGTGGGTTAAACCACAGAGCCAAAGATGTGCCGATCAGAAGGTCGGCGGTTTGAATCCCTGTGACAGGGGGAGCTCCCGTTGCTCGGTCTCTGCTCCTGCCAACCTAGCAGTTCGAAAGCATGTAAAAGTGCAAGTAGATAAATAGGTACCGCTCTGGCAGGAAGGTAAACAGCTTTTCCGTGCGCTGCTTGGTTCACCAGAAGCGGCTTAGTCATGCTGGCCACATGACCCAGAAGCTGTACGCCGGGCTCCCTCGGCCAATAAAGCGAGATGAGTTGAGTCGTCCGCAACTGGACCTAATGGTCAAGGGTACCTTTACAAAGCCAACTATGTGATGCTTACTAGAGATGATAGAAGACAGCAGGTTGCAAACAGGGAGGCTGCAATACCCTCAAAGTGTGGACAATCGGCTCTCATTCCACTTGTAGCAGACAGCAGAATGAGTGTGTAGCACTTGGGGTCCCTTGACAGCTGCCTGCCCAACTTCCTAGCCATTATGCACCCAGGTAAAGGTAAAGGTACCCCTGACCGTTAGGTCCAGTCGCAGATGACTCTGGGGTTGTGCGCTCATCTCACTCTATAGGCCAAGGGAGCCAGCGTTTGTCTGCAGACAGCTTCCAGGTCATGTGGCCAGCATGACTAAGCCGCTTCTGGTGAACCAGAGCAGCACACGGAAACGCCGTTTACCTTCCCACCGGAGCGGTACCTATTTATCTACTTGCACTTGACGTGCTTTCGAACTGCTAGGTGGGCAGGAGCTAGGACAGAACAACGGGAGCTCACCCCATCACGGGGATTTGAACTGCCGACTTTCTGATCGACAAGCCCTAGGCTCTGTGGTTTAGACCACAGTGCCACCCGCGTCCCTTATGCACCCAGAAGCTATTGCAAATCAAACATTGCTCCTGGCTAAGCATTCCATGCAAATTGGGCCTTTCACAAGATCAAGCTCTCAAGTTAGACTTTGGAACAGAGGGCCAAAGTTGGCATGTTACGTGATGCATGTCATTGTGAGCTGGCAGTATTCCAGTGGTGCGTAACCTCCCAGGATCTCATGCCGCACAGATCGCAATGGTGTGAACTGAAAACATGTTTGATTTGAGTTTCTGGTTTCTTTCTCGCCCTTGTTCCATCCTCAGGCTTATCCAGGGGACAACACAACACGGACTCCAATCGAAACGGACCTCTACCTGCAGGTGGTCATTTATGATCATGTCCTCAGAAGAAAGCTCTAAACATCATTTCTGACGAGGAATAAATACACTGGGAGAAGTCTTTAATATGTATACCCAAGGTGGAGAGAGAGAGGGGGGGGGGTAGTTTATTCCAAGGACTAAATAGTCAAGGGTGCCTTAGGCTGTTAAGGAACAGTTACCAAATAGCACTTTTCCTGAGGTTGTTTATTAAAGAGATTTTGCCTTTGTTTTCCTATCTGCTTTAAATCATTTTATAATAATATAATAATATTTTTTTATTTATACCCCGCCCTCCCCAGCCAAGGCCGGGCTCAGAGCGGCTTACAAGCAATAATAAAAACAAGATGAATGATTACAACTTAAAAACAAAAATAAAATACAACATTAAAATAATGGAACATTAAAATATTAAAATGTAGCCTCATCGCAGGAGGAGAAGGAAAAGAAAAAAGAAAGAGAGGGAGGAAGGGAATCAAATTAGCTCCAAGCCAAAGGCCAGGCGGAACAACCCTGTCTTACAGGCCCTGCGGAAAGAAATCAGATCCTGCAGGGCCCTGGTCTCATGAGGCAGAGCGTTCCACCAGGCCGGAGCCAGAGTTGAAAAGGCCCTGGCTCTGGTTGAAGCTAATCTGACTTCCTTAGGGCCTGGGACCACTAGGGTGTTTTAGAACCCTAAAATATAGCACCCCTTTAGAAACGTGTGTTAACTCAGTGCACAGTTACTTCTAATTACTTTTTAAACCACAGAATGCCTTCCACATTAGGGCTTTGTAAATGCCATTAAAGGGGAAAGAATGAAAGGATCACACACCTCTGGAAATGTGTGCAGGTTTGGGGGACTGCATCTTTTGGTGGTGCATCAAATGTGGTGTGAATCAGAACAGGAGGAGGTGAAACTGAATTGACAAAATAAGATAGGGCAGGGTGGGGTGGGAAGAGAGCTGTGTTGCTCTTCACTTAATGATATTCACTAAATGAGTGCCCTGGAAACTCAACGCCAAACTTCAAGTGATTTTACATGTGTCACCTTGGAGTTGGGTGGATCCTTTAAAGCAGGGCTTGCACAGCCTGTGGCCCTTCAGACTTGGCTGCACTACAATGTCCATCGTCTCTGGCTGGCTGGGTTGCTGGAGTCTAGCCAAATATGGCCCACAGGTTGGCCACTGATGCTTTGAAAACTGTAAATTGGAAGGGCTAGGCAGCCAGCTTAGGTACCGTATTTTTTGCTCTATAAGACGTACCCGACCATAAGATGCACCTAGTTTTTAGAGGAGGAAAACAAGAAAATAAATATTCTGAATCAGATGTTGTTGAAGAGGCTTTGCACGGCTATCGCTGAAGCCAGAACAGCAAGAGGGATTGCTGCACAGGCCACATGACCTGTTCTGGCTTCAGCGATAGCTGTGCAGCCTGCATTGGCTCCATAAGACGCACACATATTTCCCTTTACTTTTCAGGAGGGAAAAAGTGTGTCTTATAGAGCGAAAAATACAGTAACTCATTCCTTTTGTGCTATGGTCCCTCTCCTCCCCATCCCACCCAACAAAAGACAATTGGAAGGGGAGCTCACTAATTGCATTTGGAAATGCTAACACAGCAAATCATATAACTATAGAGTTGGAAGGGACCCTGAGAATAATCTAGTCCAGGCATGTCCAACTCCCAAGAGACTGCGATCTACTCCCAGTATTAAAAAAACCTGGCAGTGATCTACCCATTGTCATTGGAGGGAGGAGGTGCGTGCGTAGGGTGGGTGGATTACCCAGAGTTGATGAGCTTTTTTTTTAGGAGAGAAGGAATAAGGATCCCGCGATCTACCAGGATCAGCCGGGGATCTACCGGTAGATCACGATCTACTGGTTGGACATCCCTGCTCTAGTCCAACCCCCCACAAAGCAATACAGAAATATGCAGCTGTCCCATATAGGGACCGAACCTGTGACCCTGGCATTATCCGCACCCTGCTCTAACCAAGTGAGCTAGAGCAGCTCTGTGTGGAAATGCCCCCAGTGTGGTCCTATGGTCCTACCACCTGCATGGCAAAGCTAGACCATTAAACGCAAGATTTCTCCCTGCCTTCCCTGCTTCCTTTCTCCTTGATATATATAGGGTCTCACGCCTCACCCAGAAGCCCAGGAAACTGGATCTTTGCATCTCGAAAGGAACAGTTCCCTTGTCAGTTTGCAAATCTCTAATTAAAAGTACCCACCTAGAAAAATGCGTCTCTTCCTGCAGGTGGGGGGCAGGTGATGCTACGGGCCAAACGCTCTTAGGGAGGGCTGGGAGAATCCAGCTTGGGAATGAGCAAAGAGCCAAAGAAATCACAGAGCAGAACAGCTCCAGGGGAAGGGCTACTGTCAATAAGCCCATAAAGAGGACACCCAAAGGGAGGGCTGGGATGTCTCGCAGTGAGTAGTTAAGTGCTGTGCTGCTTAAGAGGCACTTGAATGGAAGCAGACTCATTAACAGGTGGGCACAGCTCCAGTAACATAGCAAGATCTAGGCCACGCGGGAGGAGCCCAAGACACGGTTCCTTCTCTTGCCAGGATCGTCTCTGCTCCCAGGAAGGGCAAGGGAAGGAAGCAAATTGTGAGCAAGAGATGAGGCTGAAACCAGAGGGGCACGTGCTTCTGTGTCTCCCCCACCACTAAGGTAGCCTTGTGTTTGACTGCTTACCTGATGGCCAGAGGCAATCAGGAATTCCATGCAGGTGAGTGAGGAGGCTGAAGGAAGAGGGACAAGGTGCCCCATTCTTCCTCCAGCAGTCCACTTGCTTTCCATGGGAGCCACAGAAGGAAAGCCTTTTCCCAGTGACTATCGTGGAAATCTGTCCCCTCTGCCAATCCCCTCAATAAAAGGCTTGGGGTTTTTTTTACCAGCCTGACAAGAGGCTAGCAGCGGGATTCCACCCCCAAACACACACCTCTTTCCACAGCCAGCATGGACATCCAGGCTACAGCCTCAGTGCAAGCTGTATTTGTGGATTTGTTTATAACGCAGTGCGAAGGAGACATCAGGAGGGGGTTGGTGCAGAACTGCTCAATGCCTGTGGGCTCACTGCAGTCACCATGCAAAGGCTGCTTAGAGGAGATGTTGTCATGTGGCAAGCCAAGTATGTGCAGCAGCTTTCTATGTGGATCACATAATTTATCCGTGCCCCCCCCCAAAGATTGGCCATTTACCACAACATGGGGAAAACAGTCGGTTGCATATAATGAACTGCTGTACGTGAACAGGGGTTGTGTTTGCATTGCACCTGGAGGAAGGGAGCTGCTCCATTCATGAGTGAGGAAGAGCTTTCAAGGTGTGAATAGTTGGTCTTTCTCAGAGAATGTGCGGGGAGTTTTGTTGACCTCTTCAAACTTCTCTTTGCCTGTTTTCCTGCCTTCCATTTAACCAAGTGCCCAAGAGGTTCTTGCCCATATGCAGAGTTTAAGGTTGCAGCCAGAGGGGAGAGGAAGGGAAACAGAGAGATCAGCTTCCCCTGATTCTGTTTGGTGGAATTTAGTAGCATGGAGGTCACCAAAAGAATACTCAGACAACTGCTTTGGTGAGGCCCATTGATGGAAGACCGAAAGGAGAACTCATAGCAGAAGCCTAAAAGGAAAGATGATGAGGGTGAGTTTTCTTCATTTGCCTGGACTAATAGCTGTGAAGCATTACTAAATTAATTCTGTGCTAATCTTGATTCAATAAATCTTGGGATTCAAGAGATATTTTTAGATGATTAATTGAAGGATGATTTGATTCTGGACTTGGAGTCATGCTATATAGCTGGGGGGAGTGGTTTGGTATATATTCACAGTGAATACTTGGAATACGACTATAAGTTCCTGCAAGGTTTAAGCAAGTTGGTAATAAGGAAATTCAATCTCCAGGCCAATGTGTGCACAAGGCTGGGCTCCATTGCTGGGCTTTTGTGAACTTCCTTGCTGGTGGGCAGGGATGAGAACCTTGACCTAGACACCGTTATAATCTCCAGCAATGCCCCCCAACTCACTCTGAGAAATTGAAATGGTGCCCAGCCCCGGTCAGCCAGCATTGTTCAGAGCATTTAGCCAGAAAACATAATGTAAAGGTGGGCCCAAGCACCAGTGGCAGGTCCCATGGAGAAGGTGGAGCCTAACGTTGACAACTGTCCAAAGATTCCAGGTGCTGACTGTGTAGGGACAGTAACTCCATGAGCAAGATTTCTCCCTAAGTGATGAAATACAGTATATTAAGCTTTCAGTATTTAAGATGGTTATCTGCTGAACATTCAGTTCAGCGGTTAAAGTAGAGGTTCTCCAAACCATGGGTGGTTATTTGAAACCATCACTTGAAGAATGCCAAACCTTGGTTTGAAGGCACTTCTAGTTAGCATTAACCATAGTTTACCCAGTCCAGATGTCCTGGATAAACCACAATGCAAGATGCCTTTGACATATTATCACTCCTCCGAACCATAGTTTAAAGAATTGCTGACATGGAATCTGAAGAGACTCAGAGTATGCTGCAATTAATTAGGGCATATCAAAATACACTGTAATCAGTTTGCATGGATTAACTAGATTTTAATATTCTTGTTTAATGTATGTTATTCATTTGGACTGCTGTGGTGTTTAAAATAAAATAGTTAGATTGGTTAAAACAGATCTTACTCTTTACAAGTTTAATATGGTTGGATTGATATATTATCAGTTTGTCTAGAAATAGTAAATTAAATACATTTGGAGAATTAATGTGCATTTAATTGGTAAGCGAGCTGTTGTCTGTTGTCATAAACTGTTCAACCTTTATAATAAGAAATGCTTATGTAGGCATTGTATATATAGTTTTCTTCTCTTAGAAAGCAGCCTAATAAAATCACTTCCATTCCTACTTTATACTTAAAAACTTGATTCTCTTTTTTAAAAAAGAACACCCTTAAAAGTGTATTCTAAAATACCCTGTTATCTATATCTATAAAACCAATTAACAATACTAACTGTAAAATATAAACAAGGCTATTGGTATTGGCTCAACTCATACAATCAAGTTTCTGAATACTAAGTTCCCCAATACTAAGTGGCTTCATATATTCATATATTATGAAAACTAGCACACAACAGAGAGACAAACTGTAATGTGAGAGAGCTGTTCACACACATTCTTCTTTTTGTAAACCATGCGGTCCTGATGACCCCAAACCAACTGTGGTTTCCAATAGTATATATATCGCTACAGGAAATGTTGTGGGTACACTCTACTATTCTTGTAA